GACCGCGGCCGGGCCGACGGACCCGACGGGCGGCTCAGCTGGTGCTGCGCTGGGTCGAGCGCGAACCTGGGGTGCGAATTTCACTGCTGGTTTCTTGTTAGCAAGAGCCGGAGGTGCAGCCAGAGCCCGGCTGCAGAGGGAAAGGAGGTGGCAAGGGATCCAGTTCTGCAGGAGGGAACGTGAAGTCACTGGCTGGGGCGGTGTGCTGCCCCGTCAGCAAGGGGCGAAGGCTTGTGACCTGTGCTGGACCAGGTTCCTCACTGCAGGCCGCTTGGGGTTGATGTGGTCTCCTCGTGGTTTCCTTTTTCCATCTCTCAGGAACAGCAGCCCAGTTGGACAGATGACTTGCCATCCTGCCATCTCTCCGGGGTGGGCTCAGCTCCAAACCGTTCCTACAGCGCAGATGGCAAGGGGACGGAGGGTCACCCCTTGGAAGATAACTGGTTAAAATTCAGGTAAGTGGGTTGCGCCGGGGACGCAGACTCCTGCAGACACAAGGGCAGGTAAAGTGGTACTTAGTTTGTCACATAGGACTCAGAAGAAGAGGGTGGGGCCCAAGCATGCAGGAGGTGTCTGGAGGAACTCATTAGATATGTCTGTGTCTCACAGATGGCTGTGACCTCTTTGCTTCTGCCCTCTTTGACAGGAGCGAGAACAACTGCTACCTCTATGGTGTCTTCAATGGCTACGATGGCAACAGAGTCACCAACTTTGTGGGTCAGAGGCTCTCTGCAGAATTGCTGCTGGGCCAGCTACACGCAGATCACAGCGATGCTGATGTGCGTCGAGTTCTGCTGCAGGTAAAGAAGCTTTGGCTGGGAACGGCTCCTGCTTCTCGCACTACCCACCTCCTCTTTTTGCCACCAGGGGAGCAGCATCTGGTTTCTGTGGGGGCTGGAAACATCTGCCAATGGTTGCAATTGCAGTCATCCTGAGCAGCTGTAGTGCTTGGTTTTGCTCCCACCTCATACCCATCTGTCCCCCTGGCTCTGTCAGCACAGTGCTGAGAGCTCTCCAGGAAGGTGCAGCTGGTCTTCACTGGACATGTACGAACAAGTCAGCCTGTGAAGGAGATGGCATTGAGTGAAAGGGGGAAGTTAACATGTGGGGAGACGGATTTGTGAATGCATTTTCTTGAGTGATGGGCGAGTTCGTACAATCAACACACAAAATCAGATAGGTCTCTGATATTGCTGTGAACATGATTTTTATAGTTTTGTCTCATGTGTGGAGTTATTGCAGATTGTTTTTACAAGCTGTTAACTAGCTGTGCTGAAATACTTGTGTTTTGATGTCATGTAGTGATCCTTGAATGTCTGTGTGTACAGTGATCACCCGCTCATATGAGCCAGTCTTAGGGAGGTGGGGATGGGTAGCCTCAAAGGTCTGTAGGCATTGGATAACAGCTTAGTTTCTCTTTATGGCCTTTTTTAGGCTTTTGATGTGGTGGAAAGAAGTTTCCTGGAGTCCATTGATGATGCCTTGGCGGAGAAGGCCAGCCTGCAATCGCAGCTACCAGAGGTAATGTGGTCTGAAGAACAGAGATTGCTGGAGGTCCCACCTTCCAGACTGCGAGATGAGGTTTGGGCATATTAGCTGGTCTGGTCCAGGGGAGGCTTTACTTGAAAATTATTTCTCTGTGGTTCTCTTCTGGGAGCTTGTGTGAAGTGAAGCAGGCGTCTTGGTCCATTTGCCAGCGTTTCCACTGTTCATACTGGTGCTCCTTAGACCCACCATTGGTTATCTTCGTAAGGAACTAAGATGAGAGGAGTTTGACCTGTACGTGTGGCTCTTCCAGGACAAAGCCACATGACACAGATGAGAGGCAGGGCCTCAAATTTGCATGGCACGTGGGCAGATGTGGTTTCTGTTCTTCAGGTGAACTGGACTGTCATCTTCAGAGCTTTATTGGAGCCATGTTGTTTGTTAGGATTGAGCAAGACATACAGTTGTTTCTTCAGTCTTGGTGTGAGGCTAAGAGATGCCAAGATGAGTCCCCTCCCTACAGAACTTTGATTCCAGCTGTGGTTTCTGTGTTGTGGACTGTGTTTTTAAGCTTCCCCCTCATTTTGGGTTCCAGGGTGTCCCTCACCACCAGCTGCCTCCTCAGTACCAGAAGATTGTGGAGAGATTAAAGGTTGTAGAGCAGGAGATCTCTGGAGGAGCCATGGCCATTGTGGCTGTTGTGCTTAACAACAAGCTCTATATCGCCAATGTGGGTGAGTTGCTTTTTGTCGGTGGCTCAGTCTAGGCGTTCCTGAGGGTGGCTGCGGCTCTGGGAAGTCAAAGAGATTTGAATGTGGGGGACAGTTTCTTTGGTCTGTGGCCAAGGAGTGGTATGCTTGTTAGTTAAAGAGCCAGGCTGATTTCAAGTGCTCCTGTATCTCTGCAGGTGTTGGCTGATGCAACGCGTGTGACCTAAGCACAGAGGGAAAATGGGTTGGGAGGCAGTAGTGCGGGTTCGCTGAGAAATTGGGAGCATTCTCGTGAGGTGCCGGCTCAGGCCTGGATGAAGAGCTGCCTAGCAGGCCTACTGTATTGCTGGCAAGGCTGCTTTTCGGAGATCGTGATGAGACAGTACATGAGCCTTTCTCTTCTTTTCTGTCTTTATTCCCTTCTCCTGTTCCTTTTCCATTTGGATATGTCCCCCCTCTTAACGGCAGAGGTATCTGGTGCCTCATCTCGCTGCTCCCACTGCAGGTACCAATCGGGCACTGTTATGCAAGTCCACGGTGGATGGGCTGCAGGTGACTCAGCTCAACGTGGACCATACGACAGAGAATGAGGATGAACTTTTTCGCTTCTCCCAGCTGGGTGAGTGTTGGGTTTCATGTTCTTATCTAGGAACATCGCATGCTCCATTTCTGTAGGGTACCAGGAATGACTCAGGTCGCTGGAAACAATAAATGACCACAGAAAGAAGCTTACTGTGGTTTCAGATGACAAGTTCAGTGCCGCCTTTTTCTGCCTATCTAGCCATTGTGAGGCTACAAAGTTGACTAAGTTCAGCTCACTGAACCAGCAGAAAATGATCCTTTTTTTTTTTTTCTTCCAAGTTTTGAGAGTTAGTTTTGTGTCTGACTGCCAAACTGACATTGATTTGCCCTCCAGCTGTGTGATTGCTGGAGTCGATAGGAAGGCAGGAGTAGAAGCGCACAGCCAGAGGGTAGAAGCGGGATGGACAGTATACGACTGCTCCTTTGGAGGCAAACCACAGTTAAGCTGTGTTAAGTTCCGTGTGGTGCCGCGCCCTCGGGATGGTGCGTTTCAATATGCCTTTGTACAAGCTGCTGCAAAAAAAGCGGCTATGCTTCAGCCAGAGCCAGGCCAAGCACTGGTGTTTACTGCTCTCACATCAGTAACTATTGAACTCTTAACGCTGACATTTTGCTTTAGGCCATTTCCCTATTCCTTTACAATGTTTGACATGTGTTCTTTCTTGGCCTAGAAGTAGCCCACACCACTTATGTGATTGCTAGTACCGGATTCTTCTTATTGAGATACTGACGTTCTGTACCTTTGTTTAGGTAGATCTAACTTGGCATCGTCATTAGGTTCACCTGGTAGATATATTCTTATCTGGTGAGGCTGTTGATGTGGTAATTTTTTGCTGGATCTTGTTTTATTCTGTTTCTCTTCTGTTTCCTCTTTTACTCATACTCTCGCAGTAGGGAAACAGAAGACTGAATACAAGAATCCAGGGGAAGAAACCCTTTGACTGCCTTTCTGCTGCCAAAAATGCAGAATTGCACTGCAGTCCATAGCAGAACAGGGATGTGCTAGAAATACCGACCTTGGTGCAGCAGTGGCTCTCCTGCTGACAGTCCCAGCAGAAGAGAGCCTGTGGAACAAGGCATGTGCAGGCTGTTCTGCGGGCCCAGAGGAGGTTGCTGTAGGGTTAGGTTGAAGCACGGTGATAAGAGGTAGCGAGGGTAGCGTTTGCCGTGACGGTGCCTGTGTTGCATCTCTCCTGGGGAAGGGGAGAGAGAGGTCTTATGCCTTTGAGGCTCTTCACCCAGCACATTGCAGCTTGTTCAGTGCTCCAGGAGAGTTGCTGTGATTTAGACACAACCTCTCTGGTGTGCTGCGAGCCTCCCAGTGTTTGTGTCTGTTGACAGCGTGTATCCCCCTGCCAGGAGCTGGCAAATGAGCCAGGCCATGTTGATGAGTCAGCTTTGGTCTGCAGCAGATGGCAGAGTTGTGTCTTACTGCTGGGGTAGGTGTGCAGCCATCTGCGCAGCGAGGCTTGGTTTGACTCAGAGGGAGAGTTGCAGTTGGACCCCTGCCTTCACCTTGTGCTGAGGACAGTCATCCCTAGATAAAATCTCAAAATAACATTTTCTGCCTGTTAGCTGTAGGTGTAACCAGGAGAGGGGAATTGCCAGAACACCAGGTAGGTGGCTCATCTGCTCCGAGTCCTGCCATTAAATAAACAGTTGTTTGGTCATTGTCCTTACTTCAGGAGTAGCCCACATCAGTTTGAGCGCTTGAGCAAATTCAGTGCCTCTTGCAGATAGCTCTCCTTTTTTCTTTCGGCGGTCTAGTGTATTAGTGAAACGGTCATGTGGAGTTTAGGAGCGGGGATCAGTAACAAGCGGAAGAAGAAGCAGAACCCTCCACATATGTTTTCCCCCTTCCCGCCGTCTCTTCCCGTCGCGCAGCCCAGAGCTGACAGGCGCAGGTGTTCCCCTGCCTCTTCAGCGAATGCCCGTGCACCCGGGCCAGCTGCCGCTGGTGGCTTTGGACCAGGATGTGGGCTTTGCCTCGGGGCCAGCCATTGCATTCGGAGCGCGCATCTCGGGTTGTCTGCATCTCTCTCCTTCTCTGCTTCCCAGATGACGGCTAATGAAAAGGTAAAAGGTGTCCCTCGGAACACAGCAAACTGCGCTTCCTCTTCTTCCTGTTGGGCTCCGATGATTCTTTGGCACCGCATTTTGTCTTGCAGTTCTCTTTAGCTGTGGATGTTTCTTTTCTTGTTCCTGACAGTGTCACCAGAGGAAGTCCTGCAAGTTTCCCCAAGTCAATTAAACTTTTTTGTTTTTCAATCTGGCAGGCTTGGATGCAGGGAAAATAAAACAAGTGGGAACTATTCGTGGGCAGGAAAGCACTCGGCGCATTGGAGATTACAAAGTCAAATATGGCTACACTGATATTGAACTGCTCAGGTCAGGAAAAACTCAGCTGGGTGGTTTCAAGCCCTCCTTTTCTTCATTCTCTCTATTCTCACTTACTGTGTCACCATTAAATACTAAATTATACCATCTCTTTCCAGTGCTGCTAAATCTAAGCCCATCATAGCAGAGCCTGAAATCCACGGAGGACACTCGCTGGATGGGGTGACTGGCTTCTTGGTGCTCATGTCTGAAGGGCTCTACAAAGCGCTGGAGGCAGCTCATGGGCCTGGGCAGGCCAACCAGGTGAGCCTGCTGGCACAGGAAACATTCCCTTGGTTACTGACTCGCTCCAGCGGTGCCGTCTGCTCCCATACAGACTTCCCTCCTCGCCTGTCCCGCAAGCACCGGCCAGGTTGAATGCCCGTGCCACCCCATTCCAGTCTGTAATAACAGAGGAGCTGCTTTGCCAAGCGAGTTCTCCCAGGCAGCTGCCTGTCCCTGAGGAGTGGCCTGTTAAAGGGAACGGGATGATTCAAGGCACGAGGGCACATATC